CCTAACAGAGAGTATCCAGTGACAGGAAGTCAGGAGGTTCAGGTCTTCTAACCAGGAAGGTTCAGTGGTATGATCTTGCTGTGTTAGCTGCTGTCTTAGTCTGCTTGGGCTGCCATAACAAATAGCATAAACTGGGTGGCTTAAACAAGGACAATTTATTTTCTCATAGTTCTGGAAGCTGGGAAGTCCAAGATCAAGGTGCCAGCCAGTTCAGTTTCTGGTGAAAGCTCTCTTTCTGGCTCGCAGACAGTTGCCTTCTTGCTGTGTCCTCACATAGCCTTTCCTCGGTGAATGCAAACACAGGGAGAAAGGTCTCTCTCTCTCTCTCTCTCTCTTCCTTTTCTAATAAGGCCACCAATTAGAGATCCCTACCCTTATGACTTCATTTAACGTTAATTACCTCCTAAAAGCCCTTTTCCAAATATAGTCATATTAGGGATTAAGCCTTCAATATACGAATTGTGGGGATACACAATCCAGTCCATAGCAGCTACCTAATTTACTTTTCATTTCAAACCTAATGCTCTGGCATTTTTTTTTTTTTTTTTTTTTTTGTCAATTCTATTAAGTATCTCATATCTTCTCAACGAATCTTTTTTCTGTTCAAATTTAATTAGAGTTAGTTTCTATTGTCAGCAACCACAAACTCAGTCTGGTACAGAAACTACCATCACAAGACAGTCACATGGGAAGCTGATGTTAGTTATCTGCCCTGGCTGATGCTAAAGAAAGTGAAAATTCAGTAAGAGTTCAGGAATGGGAATCTGTCAACTGTAACAAATAGCTACATAATTTTTCTTCTATGGTGATCTTTAATCAAGTGTCCATTGAAAAGAAGGACTTAGGGGATCAAATTTTCATTGCTACTGAATAGTGTCAATGGCATGAAGAATTTAAAGACACTAGGATTAGGTGGATACTTCTAACGGGACTGGACAGCTTTCAGAAATAGATGGCAGGCTCAAGTCTCTATATTTTAGCTCTAGGCATAGACCCACAGACTTTCTGTGCTTGTGATAAGTGTCTACAAAAATGTCAAAGTCAAAAGCAAAGTTTAAATTCTGTGGGATTCTGAATAAGGTCTGTGGAATTGCTAGTGTCACCAGGTGACCTATGTGAAAGTGACAGCAATGATCAGGAAATAATGGGAAATTGAATGTAGGTAAGAATACGGAGGCTTGGGAGTACCTCCAAAGCATATTCTACACTAAGCCTTGCTTGACAGCCAAATACCTAGCTCCTTTCTCTTTGCATCTTCATCATCCTACATCAGGGCTGAGCCAGTTCTGTATCTGTAGCCCTTGACAATCTCACCTTCAACATGGAGCATCATGTCAGCAGAACCTGGAGAGGAAGCTGTAGCTGGTACCTATAAGACCTAGTTAAGACATTATGTAGGCCAGAGGATGGAGGAAAAAATCTTTGAAAACATAAGGATCCACTACCTTAAGAAAGTCTGTATTGGTCTAGTCATCCGATAAACTCCAAAGTATATGTGAATACCTCAATTCTCTAATATTAAGAGTCAAAATGCCTAGTGGGTCATTCTGGGTTTTGCAGGCAACATGTTCGACATTTGCGTGTACTTATTCAATCCATTTACCCAGTGGTTCAAAAGTTTTTACTTTCAAATGGCTATACTACTTGGAAATTATGGTCCAGATGACCTAATGGTGCCCCAAGTGTCTATGGGAAATCAAACAAATGTCCCTAAGAGGTGAGTCACAGAAGGGGTGCTTGGATTTTAGAATAATAATGTGGCCTCTTTATTGCATTGCTACTCTTCTTTTGAGAGAGATGTCTTGGTTTGCTACTGGGCCTGAGTAGAGATTAAACCTTGACCACAAGATACCAGGTGACTATCAAAACAAACTATGCATTATGCACCAGGTTGTGGAAATTTCCTCCTCCTTCCTCCAGTGCGGCTTGCATCTTTCCAGCAGATTAAGAAATTTTCATTCCCCCAGGGGGACCATAGTGAACTTGGTGTTTCTAGAGACGTCTGGCATTATCTTTGTCATTCAACAGCATTTCTTGGGTATTTATGATAAGCCGGTCACTTACTCTCTATAATAAAGATGCAAAAGACTGGCTCCCTAAGCTCAGGACCTCATGGTCAGTACAGAAATGGGTTCATAATAGGCAACGCAGAGGTAGCCTTGAAGGGGACCATAATTTCTTTTTCCTTTCTTGCTACTTGGGAATAAAATTATGTGTTTAAAACATATTGGGGCAAAGGTATCCTTCTCCAAGTCAGTGCTGCCCATTCTCGGCCTTCTTTCCTTGCAGAGAAGGAAGGTCTAACCTTGTTGAAAGAACAGTATTCATGGAGACTTTATACTTATATCTTGCTTGTTTATATCACACTCTGGAGTGTTTCTCATAACAGATCATTATGATCAAAAATTAATAGCCACTATGATGAGAACGTTCATTGCAGTGCAGAGTAGAGAAAGAATACTTAAGCTTGGGCAAATCCAAAGTACCTTCCCCTTCATTTTCAAAAGTAAAATGGGAATGTGTAAAAACTTGAATGCACTAGAATCCATTAGAGGCAGAACAAATCAATGCTCTGAGATCATTAGTTTGAATATCATTAAACTGCTCACAGTTGAACAATGACAAAAAATAATCAGCATGCCTTCCTACATTATGGGCAACAGCAAGCCAAAGTGGATGTTATATATGCCACAGCTTCAAATGTTAGCCACCCAAGAGCTTCATTGTGTCATAAAATTCAGTAGTTGTTTTCTGCCACTGAAAGGCGCAGTTGTCATGAAAACATTGCCACAGCTCAAACCCCACAGTGGAGCCAGCCCACATCTGCCGCATGGTGGAACCTCACTGCCAAGTGTCCACTGCTCCGCACAGCTCTCCTGCCAACCACCTCCCCACAGCAGGTGAAAGTGAGCACCAGCACCCTCGATGGCCAGGCAGCTGGGTGACTGCCGGCAGCCAAGGGTCAACGCATCATTGCCTGTGGGGAAGGGCAGTTTGCTGAACCCAAATTGAAAGGTTTTTCTGTCCAAATCCATCCGGGATTGCTTAAATGTCAAGAACTACGGTAGCTAGCTTTGGGTTCTGTATTGTGGAATCTGAACCGTCTAAATGCCCTTTACCACAAAAAAGCTTGATGGATCTTGTGAACAAAACAGAAAGAACTTCTGCCAATGGCTGAGAAATAAATTCCTCCTTTCCTGCTGCTTGGACCACAGCATAATGAGGGCTCCCAAGCTCTCCTTGCAGTAATAAAACGGAATGTACAGCCTTTTCCTTTTGATGTGTTCCAGTTTAAAACTTTAGAGCTGATGCCTTTTCATCCTTAATTTATCTTCCCTTGTAAATATTTCTTTACCACTTCCAATATCTTAAGTACACATTTTAAAAAATAATTCACTCCTTCTCCTATTTCAGTTGTATAACTTTATGCTATGGGTCAAGTTTTGGGCTAAATAAACATGCCTCCAGCTACAGCTCTGCAAATACCTCTGGCAGCAAATTAAGTCAAACAAATGTTTTGGTTGCGTGGTGAGGATGTTTTTTAACGATCTTCCTGTTCTTGTCTGGAGGCCCAAGGATAGACTAGGTGAACTCTCACAGGCTTTTCTAATTTTGTATTTTCTTTTTCTTTTCTTTCTTTTTCCCCCAACTTTGTATTTTCAGCCACGTTAATACACAGGTCTCATTTGTTGGGTTGCTTGGTTTAAAAGCTGACCACCAGAGGGTGCTACTTGTTTGCTTCTAAAATTCATTTCCCTGGGGCTTGAAAAATGGAGGCTCTGCTACAAAAGAGTTGTCCCCACAACAGCTTGTATAGGAAAGATTTTCAGAATGCCTGATGGCACCTTGGACTTCAAGGAATCTGATTCACTTTGCTTTTGGCGTTATTTATTTAGAACCAAAACTGAAAACCTGTAGCTTGCACAAACAAAAGTGCACTGATTTTTATATTTCCCATAAATCACTAGGTGGGGAATGCTAATCATTTTTGTATTTCATGGCTTTTGTCCATATTTACTACATAACAACAAGGAACCCAGAATTCCAACATCCTCTTCACCACACCGAAAAATAAAATAACATAAAGTAAAAAGAGGATTTGTTTTGTTATAACAACGTTAGCCTCTAACAATGAAACTTTCACTTATTCTGTTTTCAGAATACACATCTCCCTCTTCTGCTTTTGCATAATCTTGCTCTGATAAAGTTTTGAACTCTAGGAGGTATTTATCAACTTTGACTTCTCTTATGAGTGTATTTTTGTGATTCTCTGATATCCATATGTGACTTTTTCACTTGATATTTTCTGGCATACACAAAGAAGTTATGGGGTTCAATTTCCATTCACCTCAATGGAAGTTTGCATGGGAAAATACTTTTAAATTGTGGTCAGAAACTCTCCTGTGTTGTCACCTCAATTGGCAAACCAAATCAGTGGTCAGCAAAGGTTTTCTGTGAAGGGCCAGGTTATAGTAAAGATTTTAGGCTTTTTGAGCCATAAGGTCTCTTTCACAACCTCTCAACCCTGCCACTGCAGCAATAAAGTAACCACAGATGTAAATGATTGGATGTGGCTATATTCTAATAGCACCTTATTTCTGGGAACAGGTGGTGGGCTACAGTTTGCTAACCCATGCAAATGATGAATCTTAATGTATGCTTAAGATTCTTAAGGTATGCTTAATGTGTTCTTATTGATAAAATTCAGCACTATTTCTATTATATTGTTCTTTGACGATTTTTGTTCTCCTCACATGATTTCGATGTAGTGAGATAAACCTCTTTAGTTTATCTAATTTAAAGTTGCCAGGTCACTTGGAAGAGTATCACTGAGTTCCCTCTCCATAGCTTTCAAACTCAGAGGAGCCTTTGGCTTTCAGTGTTATTAGTTTGTATCCTACGAAGAGTTCTTATTGTAAGAGGAAATCAATAAGGAAGATGTTACTTCCTGGCGATTTCTCCAGAGATAATAAGGAAAGTAAGCCGAAGACATAGTTTACCTTCAGACTGATGTGTGGCAAGAGGAGTCTGGGTCTCCTTTGAGTAGGATACTACTTCCCTTGGCAGGAAATCCACTTGGGTGACCTTTGACACGCCCAGTTTATGCAGTCTTCTTCTGTAAGTAACAAAGAATAAATGCTTAGAGAGGGGAGGCATTCCTTGCAGAAGAGCTATCAGTAATAAAAGCAAGCACTAAAACAAACAACCCACAAATACCCTCAGCTTCTGAGTGCAAGGGGCAGGATCATGAAGCAGAACTGGCTCTGGGATGGAAGTCAGGACATGTGGGCTCTTGGCCCACGTTGGCCCTTATAGGCTGGGTGATGTCAGATAAGACCCTCAACTTTCCTATCTGTAAAGTCTTGGTCCAGCTTACATGAGACCTCTTCCATTCTGAGCATCCCAGATTCTGCTTGGTTAAAATTTATTGAGGGAACTGTCACTTGCAATACAGGATGCTAGTCTCTTAGGAAAGAAGGAGAAAAGGAAAGTAATGTTTCTTAAATTTGAAAAAACAAAAAGAGAGGTGGGTTCCTTAGTGGTGTAACACATTCTCCATCATAGCAGTGAGGGGATTATATTTAAAGAGTGAGTATAATGCTTCTCATTTCTGCAGAATAGGAACTAACACAGATCAGCATGTGAATTTGCTTGAAAGACACACTGATAGAGCACAGAAGAGTGAAAGGGGGCACTGAGCTCAGAGTGAAAAAGCCTTAGCACAGCATTCCAGACCGAACTGTGACCATGTAAGGAACCATTTCTGAATATTTATGTAGCACTTGAAGGGTTTTCAGGGGTCTTTAGATTCATTATGTTACATGCCTTTATGACACCTCTATGAAGTATGTGGATAGATGTCATAATCTCCATTTTACAGATGAGGATAGTGAGATTCCGTTAAGAGATGTGCCCAAGTATATACAACTTGTAAATTGTAGAAGAAAGGTTACAAGTATTGGTCCATTGTTTTTCTACCAACTCAAACTCCTAACTAAGGTTCTTACTGGTGAGTTCTTGAGTTGCTGCAAAAATCGGAAGTGCCTCCTAAGACACCCAGGAAGCATCCAGTAGTGGGGGTATAATAGTATCACCTAGTGGTTAAATACATAATCCCTTTTTTTACCAGCTGTGTGTCTCATCTTGAACAAGTCACTAATCTCTCTGTGCCTCTGCTTCCTCATCTGTAAAATGGAGACAGAGGTACTTTCTAATATGATTGTTATGGGTAATGTCTATGTACCACATATACATAATGCATATGCCACATATATATTATGTAGTCATATGCACATAATTTACAAACATATATATTTTAAAACAGCTTCTGGAACATTGTTTTTAGTATATAGTTATTATATTATTAGTATTAGACATATTCTACTATATTTCTAAAAATTTCCAGGCATGGAGTGTGTGCGCCCCTGTGAGAGAAAAAGAAAAAAAGGCATACTACCCATTTAGCCAAAATCCTGCATTCCCTAGCTCTCTAGGAGCAACAGAAGAACACTCTATGCATATTATTGTCCTTAATTGTTACTAGTGGATGGCACAGCCTTATTTCTTTTTCTTTAAATTATTATTAATAGGAATAAAGTGAGAGAATGCATGGCACAGTTAGGAATTTTCACATACAATTTCCCAAACACTGTAGGAAAACAAAAATTCTTCTTGTCTATGAGTTACTAACACAATATAAGATGTGCTCAAAGTAGGTACAAGCAAATAAACAAACAAGCACTGGTTAGAGGACAAGCCTCGCTGGCTGTCTCTGTGGTCTAAGTGACCGTGACTGCAGCCCAGGTTCCACGCAGGCCTGGACCACCCAGGCCTGTTTCACTGGGAGCTCTGGGCCACAGAATGCAAGAGAGGCCAGACTGGGCCCAGGCTGAGCTCTGCACAAGTGACAAACTTTGCCCCCTTCTTACACAGAAATGGGGAAAGTACACACCACATATCAGAAACAAAATCACCAAATGAGGGAAAAGCCTCAAAGTTTCAAAGTAAGACATTCAAGGTATTATTTTAAAACCTCCTTGGGTCAGAAAAGAATGTTTTCCTGCCTGAAATGGGTCTTTCTTGAAACACCTAAAGAAGAAAACATGAAAAGACATCGCAGGACTGCTTGAGGCAAAGCCTCTCTGCTGCCAGTTTCTGAGGCCCCAGTAGATCAGTCTTTATTATAAACAAGGAAGTGGAAAATAATCCACTTCAAATTGAGGTCACCCGAGCCCAGAGAGATCACCCTAAACCCTCAATGCCCTGGACACCTGCATGAGACCCAGGGAGCTCCAGCTCTGGTTAAATGGTAGCTACACCTACAGGCAGGGTTTCCAGGGCATCCTGCTAACATGATGTAAGCTGCAGCCCTATCTCGTTTGGGACCAGCAGCAGGTGCTGGGCAACAGGAGGCTGATGTGTAATTTGATACTCCACCATGGCAGACTGAAACCAGCAGGTGACACCGTACGGCACAATGGTGAGGTCATGCACTCATTCTGAAACTGGGTTCATAGCTCTGCTTTGAACATACAGCTGAATGGTAGGGGAAAGCTTTGGACAAGTGACAAACTTCTCTAAGCCTCATGTTTCTTTTCTGTAAAATGGGTACCTGTCATTGAGTTGTGAGGACTGCATGAAGCTAATGCTTATATAGCACTTAGTTTAGTGCCTGGTACCTATTAAGTGACTCTTGGCTCAAGCAGCTCTACTTTATCTTTTCTGAGGATTATAATAATGTTTACATTTGTCGAAGAAAATCAGAGAAAGCAGATTTAGGAGTGTCCTAAATTAAAGATTCCTTAAGATAGTAGAGTTGAAGATGATCTCTGACAATAAAATGAGAATCATACTCCTAATTTCTTTCTATGGGCACATGGACAGGATGTGGCTGCCTGGGAGAGTTCATTTGCTTTTCCTTAACTTCTTTTCCTCTGAAACATCTGTTTTCAAAACGTAGGTGGAGTAAGTGTGTTTATCCCACTAAAACAAAACCTTTTCTTTTCTCAGCAATCATTGAAAAGTTTCAACCAGTTTTTCACTGATGCTATGTTTGTGAGTTCAGGGTCCCACTTGTACCCAAGACATCAAAAAGAAATAAAAGCTGAGTTGTCATCATTCGATTTTCCCAAGGTACTGATCAGCTGACACACTGATAGACTTGCAGTTCTTCTGGCTTGAGGGTGAATCTGTCTCAAATAATTTATAATTTTAAAGCAATTCCTTATAACACTTCTTAGAGGGTACTGGTAGATTACTGTATCTTTCCGTACGATCTCTGGATGGATGAAGCTGCATTTATATCAAATGCTTTTATTCTTTGTGCCTATTTTGCTGCTGTTTTAGTAACCAGGGACTTACAATATGCCAAACACTTTTCATACGTCATCTTATTTTATCCTCATTAAAATTTTATATCATATTTCAATTAAAATTGGAACAGATGAGAAAACTGAGGCTCAAGTGATGTTAAGAAATTTTCCAAAATCACAAAGGTAGTGACAGAGTTGGGCTTTGGCTCTGTGCAAAAGTAAGTCCCAGGGCCATATACTTAAAAACTTTGAAACTATACTTAAAAACCTTGTTTTCCTGCTGTTCTCTAATGCCTTATGACCATCCACTCATTGAGGCACACTTCTTGAAACCTAATATAGTGGTCCCAGCACATGTGATCATTTTATAAGCATGAGAGAGAATTCTTGAGAAGGAGCCTGGTTTAGATTATTAGGACATAATGAAAGGATTATGTTTCTGAGTTAAGTACCACACAATCACTCCCAGCCCTAGCCAGTCCAGAAAGGATGACCGGAAGGTCTCGTCCCTTCATAGCAAAGACCTTTTGCTTAGGGATGTTCTCTAAGTTAAACGAAGCAAAGGAGGAAGAGCAAGACAACCCTGTGGCATTCATACCATCGCAGTTCCCGTCCCTTCTAGTTAGGCTACAGACTCCATGCTGGCTCCTCAGTTCCGATTCTGTGATACCTTTCCTGCCATCCCACCACCCCTCCTGCATAGCTCATGCCCTGTTCACTGTACACCCAGATACTGCTGCCATAGCCCTTGGTATTTGTCACTGTACAGTCATGTGTGGCTTCATGATGGGTATACCATCTGAGAATTGCATGTTAAGCAATTTTGTCATTGTGCAAATATCACAGAGTATACTTACGCAAACCTAGATGGGATAGCCTACTATACATCTAGACTAGATGGGATAGCCTATTGCTCCTAGGCCACAACCCTGTACAGCATATTACTGCACTAAATACTGTAGGCAGTTGTGGCACAATGGTTGAGTATTTGTGTATCTAAAAATAGAAAAGATACAGTAAGTATACAGTATTATAATCATATGGGACCACCGTAATACACAGTGCATCACTGACCAGAACACCATTATATGACACATGACTGTGTTCACTTCTTTTTCATGTCTGTATCCCGTGACTAGACTGCAAAGACACTTATTTATCCTTTACTAATTTATGCAATACCCTGGGCCTTAGTTTAGTGTCAGGTACAGAGCAGGCACTAAATAAATGTTTGAGGCAGGAAGGGAGAGAGGAAAAAAGGGAAGAGGAGGAGAAAAGGTAGAAACAATGTAAAAATACAAATTGAGACTCAAATGATGTATGTCCTGGCTGACATAGCATCATTTTAAAATCATACGGTGTATTTTCACCTTGGTAAAATAAAAGGGTTTATTGAAACTTTAATATTACTGAACTACAATGCTTTAAATAACTGTGGGAAAACAAATATTCAATATCACCTACGCAGTACAGTAAAGCCTCATATATTTGGATTAATTGTGCCCAGAGTAAACCAAAACTGGAGAAATCCTAGAGCAGATTCCCAAAGTGTGGTCCCTAACCCCACCAGCAGCAGTGACACTTGGGAGATGGTTAGAAGGCAAATTCACAGTCCCCACCCCAACCCACTGAGTCAGAAATTTTGGGGTTGGGGTCTGGCAATCTCTTTTAGGAAGCTTGCCTACCTTCCCCCTTTCCCCACAACCTCTTACTCTGGTGATTCTGAAGCCTGCTAAAGGTTGAGCATCACTGGCTTAAAAACATTAGATAGAGTGGAGAGATGAAAACTTCATTGTTTAAGGAG